CTTCACCTGCTATTATTGGGGATAATATCAAAATATCACTAAGAATATGCGGACCAGGAGGAACCGTGACAAGATGACTAAAATATACATATAAGTCAGTAATAATAGTATAATGAATATATGCATAATTAATACGTGCCTATTATCACCACTTTTGACGGCATTCACAAAGGCATCTAATTTAGCAGTATTTTCAGCTTCCTCCCCGAAATTGATGATATCCACAGCAATATTGTTCTTTTTTGTTCTTTTAGCTAACTTTATTAGAGTATTTTTGTCGGCTTCAATCGGACTGCCTACAAATACTATGATTCGCTGTTTTTGATTCTTATTTTGTCTATGCTTGAGTGCAAGCTGTTTTAAATCTAATTAATAACGAATTTTTAAAAATTCACAAACATTACTTAAGTAATAGTTAATAAATGTACCTGAGCAATTTGAATACCAGTTGTAAAATTAATTTTACCACCAATTTGTGTCTTATGCAGTGCAGTCAATATTTTGCCATGATCTGAAGTTAAGGTAACAAGGACTTCGGGACTAAAGAGAAATAAACGTGAGTAGATCCAATACTTTACCATAACCAAACGCTTTCAACCTGTGCACTTACCTTTTGCCGGCCATAGTTAGCATTCCAACAGTATTTTCTGGATTTTGTTGAGTTTTCGAGCTAAATACGAGATTAACAGCGTCCTTTTGTGCCTCTAAACGAGTAGGCGTGTAATCACCATTACGCATCCATTCAGAGTTGTCCAATCTGTATTTAAATGCCATAAGCATATAATAAAGATCAATAGAAATTAGGTTAATAAATACTCACACTATCATAGTAGCTTCAAGAACCATTTTGAAAGAATTCTTTTTTCTAAACTACGTACGTACGTACGTATAGATATCGCTTTTATTAATGGACAGTGTTAGTACGTCATCAGTATCTTATGATTGGATGATGCGCCTGAGTATGTTTCACTAACACCATTTCGAACTTCGAGGGAATCGGCCTCCCATTACATCGCGTTGCTAAGTTACGTTAAAACTACTTCACTAGACTATTCAACTAACAGTATCTGATTTGAGATTATTATAATAAAATAAATCTCCCCAAAGTGCAGACCAATGGCGCAGCCGCAGCATAAGTAGCTATAATGACAAGCTGTAACTAAATTTTTTTTTTTTATTATTATTTTGAAGCAATTAGTCAGAATTAGTGTTCATTAAGAGGTTTGAGGTTTAAATTAATATCGATTATGTATATCCTCTCAAATTTTATATGCATAAGAATTGTGATTGAGTGGTAAATTTTTTTTGTAAAGGTCAGTAGGCGATTC